TGGCCCGCACCTGATGCGGTCGCTCGTGCCGCTGTAGCCCCAGCGGCTCTCCACCTGCTGGAAGCGGTTGACGCAGCACTCCTTCCCGCGCAGGCAGCAGCGCGGCCGGTCGATGAACTCCACGCGCGGCTTGGGGTTGACCGTGAAGTGCAGGAAGAGGCTGACCACCTCGCGGTCCACCAGGATGCCCGACTGTGCGGGGCCTGCGGACACAGGGGGCCGGTGGGCGAGGACACGCCCCGTCCTCTCCGGGCGTCTGCGTCGGGTTCTCAAGTCGCCGGAGCCGGGGCAGCGTCCCCCGTGGGGACCCCGCCACCCCCTCCGGCCCCTTATGCCCTGGCCTTTGGGGAAGGGTCCCATGCAGACCAGGGGCGGACACTCGTTTGCCCACTCGCTGGGTGAAACCTCAGGGTCCGACCCCATTCCAGGGCCTGTGTGGCTGCGGGTCTCACGCCTTGCTACAGGGACCCCCCTCACTTCATAGTGGGTGGAGGCCGCGTCCTGCCCATCCACGCCCCAGGTCACCCGCTGGGGAAGGAGTCGCTCGAAGCCAACACTCCCCGGGCTGCAGCCCAGGCTTGTAGAGGTGGCCCCGGGAGTCGGAGCCATGGACTCTCCATGGAAAGATGAAATCCAGAAGTAGAGGTGTGATGGCGACGGGTGGATAGGCCACACCAGGGATGTGGACAGGCAGGGCTCCAGGCCCGGAGGCCACAGGGGCAGCCAGAAGGGTCACAGTGGTGGGGACCAGGAGCCTCACACACACTCTGCCCCTCCTCCGCCCCCGGAAAGTGCACAGGACCCAGGAGAGTGCGTCTCCCGCAACCCAGACACAGCCACAAGGCCCGGTTTGCAAGAATCATTCATTTACCAACTTTTGGCCCGTGTCTGAGTTGCTCACAGCTACAGAGCCGCCCAACCCTGAAACAGAGACTGTAGTAATGGGAGAAAGAATAGATTTATATGGATCACGTGAATAATAAAGATTGAATAAAGAATGTTAGCAAGTGTATTTTTTAAAAATCTCTGCGTAAAATGTGGAAAGAAACCCGCCAGGCTGTGGGCCATGCGTGCGCGCTTAGCGGGCAAGTCTTTGCAGGGGCTCTTCACCCTTCTTTCTGCTTTCTCCTGTGTCCCACATGGACCGAGCGAGCAGGGGGAATCCTATCACAGCACAGGAGTGGCCAGGACTTTCTGTCCCTGTCGCTCCTGGTTTGCCCATACCAAGGCCAAACCGAGAGAGACGATGGAACCTGCTTATTCATCCCGGATGCTCACCCTGCACCTTCTCTGAGCCCAGCAGTGCAGAGGGTCGCCCACCAGAGGGGAGGGTCAGGGACAAGGCCCGGCCCACGCTGATGAACACGGGTGCTCGCGGCAGCCCACAGCTTTAGAACTAAGGCGGGGGGTGGGGAGGCGGCATGGCAGAGCCGACTTTGGCCAGTGGTGGATGGTGGTGGATGGAGATCTGGCAAGGCCTCCGGAGCCCGAGCTACAGGAGGATCCGTGGAAGCATGTGGGGAGAGTAGGGTGGGCCTGTCGGGAGAGGAGCAGGTGGAGAGGACCCCTGGGGCCTTGGGCTGCAGGAGCAGCTCGGGCTCTTTCTGAGGGTCAGGGAAGCTGCTGCAGGGTGGGGTGCTCACAGGTGTCTGATTCAGCAGGTTGGTGACAAGTGGGGCTATTTCTGGGGACAGGAAGACATAGAGGTGCTTTTGGGGGAAGATCAGGATTCTGGTTTCCAAGTAAGCCACGCAGCAGAATGCAGAAGGTTCCAGAAGGTCTGGGTGGACCCCAGGGAGGGAGGTGGGAAGCAGGACAGGAGGAACAACAGGGAAGGGACCTGGGGGCCATGTGGGGCCGGCACATCCCGGAGGTGGACAGCATCGAGGCTGCAGGGAGCAAGTCAGAGTGCTCTGGGCGCGAGGCCCCTGCTTGGCGGGGAGCCCTGTGGGGAGCCAGGCTGCAGAGGCCCAGCAGGGGTGGGAAGGGGAGACGCAGACACCACCTGGCGGGGCTCGGGTAGCTGCTTAGGACGGGGCGTGCAGGCTGCTGGTCACCAGCACATCCTGGGCGAGCCGGGGCTCGGGTAGCTGCTTAGGACGGGGCGTGCAGGCTGCTGGTCACCAGCACATCCTGGGTGAGCGAGGCCAGAGCCAGGTACACAGTTAGCACTCATTAAGTACTCAATGGGTGATCGATCCCATGATGTGGTGACATTCTCTGAGGCTTCACCCAAACAGAACAGAGTCACAGGGACTGCCCCACCCCCATCCTATTCTTACTGGGGGCTGACACTGGACCACCGTCCCCACACCAAGCGCGAATGGGGGGTCTCCAGGCAGGAACGCGAGCCCCGGGTGGCCCTCCCCTCAGTCTGCAGCTTCTGACCTCTGTGCACTTGGGGCCGGGGTCACAGAAGGCTCCGGGCACCAGTCCTTTGGGGTCCTGCCCCCTCCCACACCCTGTGGCCCCATCTGCACCTCCCCCTATCAACCATCTCCTTCCCCGGACCAGGGGCAGCATCTCACGCTCCTCTCAGAGCCTGATCGGGGCGTCTTTATCACTCCAAGATGAGTGAGACATGGCCCCAGCCTCGAGGGCCAGGAGAGAGGACAGAAGGAAGGGAACGAAGGATCCCGCCGAGGACCCAGGGGCAAGCAGGCCCTACAGGTAGGGACAGCACAGTCCCCTTCACCACCTTCACGGACACGGCCAGCCTGTCCCCCAGGCCCTTTCCTGTCCAGCATCTGAACTGGAGGGTCCCCCGGGCGGTGTGGCAGGGACTGCCTGGTACTAAGAAGAGCATGTGGGGGGGATGGGCAGGTGGGGGGGACAGCGTGAAGGACACCCTCAGGGCCAGTGGGTTGGGCTTGGAGTTCCCACCCCAACAGCTGCTAACTGTGCCTCAATGGGTTTTGTACATCCCAGGGCCACTCACTCTGACCAAAGGACAAGGGACCACAATCCAGAATGGACCCCAGGGCCAGCAGGTGTGTGGTGGGCAGCTGCGTGACAGGACCTGTTGCAGACCCGAGAGGCCCGTCTTCCACACCCACACACTCAGGGAGGGTCCCCCCAGGACAGTGTGGGACGCCTGGCTAAACCTGAGTTTCAGATCATGGAGGACTAATGCTTAGGACACACACGTCCCACACAGTACGTGGGAGACACTTACGCTAAACATTGCTGGTTGTTCTGCTGCTGTATCTGGCGACCTTAAATCAGGCCAGAGCAGGGGCCATGTGGACCAGGCAGCGATGGGAGGGCAGGTGTGCACGGCCACAGGCTTGCATCACCAAGCCCCACTGGAACCTGCCAGGGCCACGCCAGGGCTGCTTGGCCTCAGGACATGAATATCCACAAATGCGGGAGACACAGTTGGGGCTGCCCCCCATGTCCCCCCAGAGCCCCCGGCCCTGCAGCACGGGACTCCATAGCGCACTCACAGGCACACAGCAGAGAAACCCAGCACACAACAGGCCCCGGGCACATCAAATCCCTTCATGGGCACCCATCAGGGATACTTACACCTGAGCCACCCGGTGGGACAAGAGCCCAAGATGGGCACACCCTAGTCTCCTGAGCTGGCATCGTCAAAACACAGTGAGACAGCCCGTCAGTGGCCAAGAGCCAGAAGCCAGACACATGCTGTGGACACGAGACGGCGTGCACACCCTAGTCTCCTGAGCTGGCATCGTCAAAACACAGTGAGACAGCCCGTCAGTGGCCAGGAGCCAGAAGCCAGACACATGCTGTGGACACGAGACGGCGCGGGGCTGACAGACACAGCTGGGGGCCCTCAGTTCAGAGAGTGGCTTCATTCTGATCTTTATACTTGAATGCACTTGCAAGTTTTCCACAGCTGACACGGGGGCCGGGATCACCAGCACCGAGACGCACGTCTGTGTTCCCAGCGGGGTCACTGGGAGCCACTCTCCTCCCGAGCCGGGCCTGTGGCCCAGGCTCCCCCGAGCTCCGTTACCTGCGGCAAACTCCTCGATGGTCATCAGCGGGAAGCGGATGAGGCCCAGGGCCTTGCCCAGAACCTCTCGCTTGTTCTCAGGCGTCACCTGCAGCTGCTGCCGCTGACACTCAGCCTCAGACCAGCGGACAACCGCATTGAACAGCCGCACCTCCCGGATGCCCAGCGTGTCCCGCTCCAGGACAGCCACCAGCGTGTCTGTGGGGCAGGCAGAAGGGGACTGCGTGAACCTCAATGCTCACCTTCAGGAGTCAGTGCCCCAGCGGGCTTAATGTGACCAGCTTTATGCTGGGATCCAACTGCAGCCAGCCCCCAGACCAAACCCGGCCCTCTGCCTGTGTTTGTAAATAAAGTTTTATTGGCACAAGCCATGCCCATCCACTGTCCTACGTCTATGACGGCTTTTATGCTACAAGGGTAGAGTTAAGCAATTGCCACAGAAGCCATTTTGCCAGCAAAGCCTAAAAAACCGACCACTGGGCCTTTTGCAAGAAAAGTTTACAGACCTTGCTCTAAGAGGATGGCAGGGTCTCCACCAGCTGGGACTGTGGTGACCCCAGGACAGGAGGGCCTGGCTCACGGACACCCCAGTCCAGCCCTCCCCCAGACTCCACTGAGCTCCCAACCTGCTGCAGATGGGAGTCCCTGGCTCACCTGCAAGTCTCCCTCAGGTGGACACTGAGCACAAAGCCCCCACCGTTTCCCCTGGACTCTGCAGCTGAGACCAGCTAGGATTCCCACGTCAGGGCACAGGGAGGACAGGGGCCACCCCACAGCTCACTGGGCCCTGACTGCCTCCTCCCACGAGGTCCAGGCAGCCATACCCAGGTCGATGTCAGTGAAGCCCTCAGCAGTGATGGCATCGGCTGTGTTTTTATCGATGTTCTCCAGGCACAGGCTGGCCAGCTGCGGTTCATCGAAGAGTCGTGCCTGGCGGGAGATGGCGGGAGAGATGTCAGCCCTGAGTCCCGCAGACAGGGCCCACGACAGACCTGCCAGCCAGGCCCGGCTCAAAACTTACCATGGGTTTCAGGCGGCAGCCACATAACCCTGACCCTCCTGAGCGTGGGGCTGGTGCCACATGGGCCTCAGCTGGCCAGGTGACCCTGCAGGGGGCTCAAGGTCCAGAGACCCTCTGGTGACCTGAGTTCCCCAGGGTCCCTGGCACCTCCCCACTAAACCACTGCTTCCCCAGCATGGCTGGTGCTTGGAGAGACACAGCCCTTAGACAGACATGCGGCCTGGACTTTGGAGAGACACGTGCGGGAAAGTGCCAGAAGAGCGGGGCCCCAGCCCGGCCCGGCCTGGCCCGCGCACCTGCGTGAGCAGCATGAAGGCGTTGTCCGCCCGCAGGTTCTTCTTCAGGAACTCCACGCAGTGGGCCTCCAGCGCCGGCACCGCGTACTTCTTGGCGGTGTACAGCGTGGTCATGACCGTCTCGGGCCCGATCTGCACCTCATCTGAGTAGAGGAACCTGCACAGGCCGGAGGCGGGGAGCTGTGAGACGGGCAGAGGACACGACGGGACCGCTCAGACTATCAGACCCGTCGCCCACCCTCAAGCCGGCAGGATCCAACTACCCCACCTCTCTAGCTGGAAGCTTCCCTGAGGAACCTTCTGGAATCAGCACCTGACCTAAGGACAGAACCCGGCCAGGCTGTCACCTGTGAAAATGAGGAAGAGGCCAAAGCCACTTGTGGGCAAACTCTGTCCTCACACGTCTCATGTGTGCCTGGGACGTCTTAGGAGAAGGTGCAGGTGCCAGGGGGCTCCCCCGGGACTGTCACCTTCTCGACCCAGATGTAAAGCCCCACTGCAAACCTCGACCACTTCTGGGTGAATTGCAGAACCCGCAACGCCAGCCTGAATCACACACACTCATGGATGTTGCCAGCATCGCCACGGAGTGACCCGCGGTGCACTCGGCACGGACCAGAGGCTGGGGTGGACGCTTCCATAGAGCACGGGAAAAATGGCCAGGACGTGGAAAACAGGAGCCCTCAGGGGTTGCTGTGCACGTGTCACACGGTGCACACGCTGTGAACAAGTGGGCGGCTCCTCAAAAGGTCAAACACGGAGTCGCCAAAGATCCAGCAATCTCACTCCTAGGTGTGTGCCCAAGAGAACTGCGACACACGTCCACAGCAGCACGATTCACAACAACCAGCAAGGGGTGGAAACGGCTCAGATGTGCACTGACAGACAAACGGATGCACACAGTGTGGTCCATCCACACACGGGAACATCACTCAGCCGTGAACAGGAACGAGGCTCTGACACACGCTACCACGTGGATGGTGGACCTTGAACACGTCACACTCAGTGACAGACGCCAGACACAAAAGGCCACACAGTGTGTGACTCCATTTACATGAAATGTCCAGAACAGACCAATCCACAGAAAGTGGATTCGTGGTCGCCAGGGGCTGGGGGAGGGGATGCGACTGCTGATGGGGACAGGGCTTCCTATTGGGCTGATGGAATGTTCTGGAACTAGATGGAGGTGCATGGGGCCCGAGTCAGAGCTTGAAAAGCCCACTGGCCACATGCAGCAGGCCCGGCCAGGCAGGGCCATCTGACCTCCTCTGTCTGCTGCTGGCCTCACAAATTCCAGGAAGTTAAACAACTGTGTAACTAGGAGTCTAGAATTTACTTAGTTTTTCAGGAAACAACCGAAGAAGGTGCCACCTGCCACCTTGTGCCTCTGGTCTCCCGGCACCTGTGAGATCTGCTCCTCCAGGAACCGGCACACAGGGCTTCAGACCATTTCCCAACTCACAGACCCTCTTTGCAAAGAGACATTTTGCAAGTTAGTCACAATCCTGACTACAAGGACTGCTGGGACAGCTGAATAATGGCCCCAAAGACGTTCCCATCCCGACCCCTGGGACTTGTTTGATTTGTAACTTCCACAGCAAAGGCCTCTGCAGATGGGATGGAGTGAAGGACCTTGAGATGGGAGGTCATCCTGGGATTTCTGGGACCCAGTGTCCTCACAGGGTCCTCATAAGAGGTGGCAGGAGGGTCAGAGACAGAGACTGGAAGACACTGCACTGCTGGCTTTGCAGACGGAGGAAGGGGCCATGTGCTGAGGGCTGTGGGCACCTCTAGAACCTGGGAAAGGAGGACACGGGTCCTGCCCTGGAGCCTCCAGGAGGGACCAGCCCTGTCCATGCCTTGACTTTAGCCATGTGAGGCCCATGTAGGAATCTGACCCCCAGAACTGTGAGCGGATACATGCGTGTTGTTTTCAGCCACCAAGTTTGAGGTAATTTGTCACAGTGGCTGCAGGACACCCCTAAAGCTCCCAAAGCGAGGCCCCCACTGAATGGTGGAAGGACCTGGACAGATGGAAGAGGCCCAACCAGGAGCAACCTCCCAGCCAGCAGCAGCCTAACGGAGCCAGTTCCAGAAAGGGCCACTCTTGTCCTGGGCCACAGGGGCCCAAGGAAAAGCCAGAGGTCCCAGTGCAGTCACAGCCCAACAGTGGTGGGCTGAGCCCCTCTGGGTCAGGGAGGCCCGGGGCTGGCCCAGGACCCTCCAATAGAGATGCCTGCTCTGAGGGCCTTGGGGACATTCCTGCCTCTCTTTAAATAGCAATTCCTGGGCCGGCCCGGTGGCGCACTCGGTAGAGGGCGTCGCTCCCGCCGAGGGTTCGGATCCCATATAGAGACCGGTCCGCTCACTGGTTGGGCGCGGTGCAGGCGCGACACCGAGGGTTGTGATCCGTTACCGGTCACGAAAAAAGACAAAAAGGAAAAAATAAATAAATAAATAGCAATTCCTTAAATGGGAATTTTTTCATTAGCATAACATTTTTAATTTAATTTTTTTTTTTCTTTTTTAAAGATGACCGGTAAGGGGATCTTAACCCTTGGCTTGGTGTTGTCAGCACCACGCTCACCCAGTGAGCAATGGCTTGTCCCTTAATTCAAATTTTTTATTGTGGTAAAATACACATAACATAAAATTCACCGTCTTAAACCTGTTTAGTGCACAGCTCGGTGGCATTAAGCACATTCACATTACTGTGCAGCCATCACCACCATCATCTCCAGAACTTTCTCATCTTCCCAAACTGAAACTCTGTCCCCATGAAACACTCACTCCCCGTCCCCTCCCCGCCCCCAGCACCCACAAACCCACGTTCTGTCTCTGTGGATCATCCTATTCTGGACACTTCATATGAATGGAATCACTTACTATGTTCTGACGTCTGTCACTGAGCGTGACGTGTTCAAGGTCCATCCACGTGGTGGCACGTGTCAGAGCCTTGTTCCTGTTCATGGCTGAGGAATGTTCCAGTGTGTAAGTGGACCACGTTGCATATGTCCGTTCATCTGTGTGGACACTTGGGCTGTTTCCACCTTTGCACTGTTGTGAATCACGCTGCTGTCAACATGGGTGTGCAAACACCTCTTTGGGACCCCGCTTTCAGTTCCTGGGGTGTATGCCCAGGGGTGGCATCTCTGGATCACAGGGCAACTATGTTTCATTATTCAAGGAACCGACATGCTGTCCTCCACGGTGGCTGCGCCGTGTTCCGTTCCCACCAGCAGGGCTGGAAGGTTCTGACTTCTCCACATCTTCGTAAACACTATGTTCTGTTTTCTCCGACAGCAGCTGCCTCAGTCATGCTGCTATGACAAAATACCTCAGATTGGGTAATTTGTAAACAGTAGACACTCAGTTGTCACGGCTCTGGAGGCTGAGAGTGTGACACTGAGGCGCTGGCAGGCTGGTGTCTGGGGAGGGCTGTTCTCTGCTCCCAAGAGGGAGTCTCATTGCCAGGTCCCTCCAGGGACGAGCACTGTGTCCTCACATGGCAGAAGTGCAGAAGCACAGAGGCAGGAGGTGGCTCTCGGAAGCCCCTTCCATAAGGGCACTCATCCCACCCATGAAGGCACAGCCCTCGTGACTTAATCACTTCCCCAAAGGTCTCGACTCCTAAGACCAGCGCCTTGGGGTTTACTTCCACTGTGAATTTCGGAGGGACGCGAACATGGGTGTGAGGTGGCACCTCCTGCTGGTTGTGGTCTGCATTTCCCTAACAGTGGGTGACAGTGAGCATCCTCTCATGGGTCACTGGCCATCTGTGCTTCTTCTTTGGAGAAATCCCTATTCAAGTCTTTTGCCCATTTTTGAATCAAGTTGTTTTTGCTGCTGTTGTGTTTTATGAGTTTCTGCATATTCTGGATATTAACTCCCTACTAGATACACGATTGGCAAGTATTTTCTCCTATTCTCTGGGTTGCCTTTTTACTCTATTGATGTTGCTAGATACACGATTGGCAAGTATTTTCTCCTATTCTCTGGGTTGCCTTTTTACTCTATTGATATTGTCTTTTTTTTTGTCCTTTTTGAGACCGGCCGCACCGCACTCAGCCAGTGAGCACTGTGAGTGC